TGAAATGATTTGGATCTAACGGCTAACATAAATCTTTCAAATTCAATTCAAATTCAAAAGCTTCCCTCTTACGTTTTCTTTCTTCCCTTTTTGAAGAACGTGTATGTGGATTTCCCTGCTAAAACTAAAGCTCAATTAGGGTGCATAACCGGCTTCGTGAGCATTTACCGGTCTACCTCTGCACCAATTGCTCTCTCATTCTTTCACCTCTTGGGCTTGTCTTCCCGCACAACTGGAGAGGTACCCATGCTGTGGGTCTCCTGTCAGACTCTGGCGCGCGTAACCGCTTTCTGCGTCTACTGTCACTCATCTGTGGTCCTCATTGTCCTTTGACCAGGCCATTACATTATTAGTCTCTTGTCCACTGTATAAGACCTCTGGTCTTTTCCCCATTTACTTCATCTTACAATCACTTGCCAGATTTTCTCAGAATCCTTTATGGGCTTCCCTTTGTCTAAGCAGTGGTTTTTAAAGTATGGCCTGTGGAACCCTAGAACCTGGAGATCCCCTTGATCTGCTAGGTTAAAATTATGCTCATAATAAATCTCATCCACCCCCTGCCACCTCTTTTTTCTGCACTGTGTCAGCATTTGCGCAGGTGATGCACAAGCAACTGGAGTGAAAGCGATGCAGAGCAGGGGCCAAGGTGGGCGCCGCGCCCGCACTCAGAGCCTTCCTCTCTGCCCGCGAGAATATACGTGAGAGCTCATTGAAAATTTCCTTACTTTTATGAAATCTCAGCCCTAGAGGCCATGTCTTTTTAACACTCTGTGTGGTGACACGAGAGCGGCACGCCGAAGCGGGAGGACGGCCGCCACAGGGAACACTCGAGCCGAGGGAGCTGCGTCGCGGGGCGGCCTGGCCGCCATTTGTGTCTCGCGCAGTGTCATTTTCACTCAAAGGCGGCAACTGATAAACTGTAGTTATTCGGCCTTGGGTATTTGGTAGACATTTTTTGGAAAAATAAAATGTCTTAAACCTGTCCTTGAAGGGGGAAATACAGCAGTATTTATTGCCAATAATAAAATTCAAGACTAAAAATGAAAATCAGTAATTTTGAAAATTTGAATCTGCCCCTGCTCTGCAGTAATTAAAGACTTTTCTGATGAGATCAGTACTTTCCTGAATGTTAATGAAAGTGATTTTTTGATATTATGTAATGAAAAGTATCAACATTTAGAAGATCTGCAAAACTAAATGAACCAACATTTTCTAAATGATCAAGACATAATGCTACAAACTCATGCATATGGATAAAAGATCCATTCAAAGGGCAAAGTAGATCAATGATTTTTAATTTAACAGAGTAAGAAAAGTTCATCGATGTGGTACCAGATTCCTCGTTTCACTAATTTTTGAGAAGCAACTGCTTGTCAGGTTTTGGGGTAGTATTAAAAAAAAAAAAGATGATCCACAATTATCTAAAAGTGCTGTTAAAATACTTTTCCCTTTTACAACTACATGTCTGTATGAATCCAGATTTTCTTCATATATACTTTAACTAAAACAGCATAAAAGCAATAGATTGAGTGTTGAAACAGAAAGAAGAACCTAGCTATTGTCATTTCAGCCAAACTTTAAGGAGATTTGCAAAATTTAAGAATGTCACTCCTCTAACTTATTTTTCTTTTTTTGGGGGGGGGGGGAGTGGGCTGGGGTGGGGGGGAGTTACATCTCATTAAAAACATGTTATTTATATTAACATGCAATAGGTTATTATCATTAAGTGAATCTTTCAAATTTGTTTTAATTCCTGATATGATATATTCTGATAAATATAAACCACATAAACAAAAGCTCCTTGAAGTCTTCAACAATTTCAAGAGTCTAAAGGGATCCTGAAATTTTATTTTATTTTTTTGAGAATTACTAGTCTACATGAAAATATCCTAAGACTGCACAGTGCTTTCCAAAGGAATCCATTCAGTATCCTCTGATTCTTTTTAATGTTTCTCAAATTATTCATTTTTTTATAATAAGGACATCATCCAATATCCTTAGTAACCTTGTAAGAATGGGACAGGGTAAATCTAATTTTTTTCCCAGTGTTTTTATTAGGATTCTTATTTGTAATTCTAAGTTAGTTCTCCTTTTCTCTAGTGAATTTTAGATGCTAAATATAACTGAAAGTCAAAAATTAGAAGTATGTCACTAGAGCAAGAGAGAGGGAGATTGATTGGTAGAATTGGTAAGATAAAAATAGGACATTAATCTGCGCTTGTCCTGTTAATACGGTCTCAGTATCTAGTCTTTACAAATTACAAGTATACTATTAAACCTTCATTTAGCCATGGAAATGAGGACATGACAGAATGAATAAATTAAATCTAAAGGTTATTTTAAATCTATTTTATCTCGTTATTTAAAATGGCCTGTAAACCTTAAACCAGAAGTGCTCAAAAGGAACCCAAAAGAATCACTTATTCTATCTTCTTTCTTGTTCTCTTTCTTGGTATGCATCTCTTAAAATTGTCAAAAAGTGCGCACAGTAAAACAAAAAAAAAGGGAATCGATAAAATTTATCGCTTGGCTAATCAACCTCATAATTTAGACAAAGCCCACAGAGAGAAGTCTTGCTCCCCACTTCACGCTGCCGGCAGCCCTGGGGACTCCGAGCTCCCAGCGCTCCTCGCGCCATCGCCCTGTGTGTCCACACCACGCAGGCGCGAGGAACAAAGCTCAGGCCGGGGAGGGGGGACGCAAGGCCGTGAACACGGCGCAGGGAGACCCAGCGCTGAAACAGATTTATGTTTTGTGAGGAAGCATGAGTTAGACTATAAATGTAGCATCCTACATTCTAATTTTTATGTACAGGGTCAGTCACTATCTTCTTGCTTAGTAGAGATCATAAGATCACTGTTCCAATTAAATTATAGTGGGCAGCTTAGGTCACCCATGGCAAACTTACATAAGAAGGTTAGTCATTTGAATGAAAACTTGTCTAGGCCGCAAAACCACCACATTTCCACATAAAGTAGGTGTACCCTCTCTGTTGAGGTAGCCTTGGTATTTGTTCTAAAAATAGGCCTACATTGTGGTGAAATCTAACCCAGTTGTTTGTCCAAATCACGTTAAGAAAATCAACTTTGACATGGCTTTTAAGAACAGGCAAGAATCTCCTATAATGTCAGAACAGATTGAGAGTCAGTTCCTTTGAAGCTTTTTGTGACAATTTTCGGAAATTTTGAAGTTTAAAGAAAACTTGAAGATAATTTAGGTTGCTGCCCTGGCAGTGTGACTCAGTTGGTTGGAGCTTCATCCCGTAATGGAAGGGTTGGGGCTTCTATCCTCGTCGGCCAGGGCACCTGCCTAGGTTGCAGACTTGATTCCCGATCCCTGCTCCGGGCACGTAGGGGAGGCAGCCAAGGCAACCGATTGTTTCTCCTCTCTCACATCAATGCATCTCTCTCTCTCTTCCCCTCCCTCTAAAAGCGATGAAAAAAAGGTCCTTGAATGAGAACAGAAGCAAGTTAAAATAAAATAGTTTAAGATGCTTAGCATGCAAGGTGAGAGCGAGGGTGGGGGAGAGTCGGGGTGGAAGGAGGAGCTGTAGATGCAGTGCGTCCTGCCCTGCATAGTGGGGAGCAGAGAGAAGCAGGAAAAGAAGGGGAAGATAGTGAACTTCTAAGGATGAGTAACATGTCCAGCCAAGCCCCAGTAACATTATTAGTTCCTGACTTTGAATTATTTTGGAGGATAGTATAAGCTCCTCAAGACATATAGAGCAACACATAGGTAGGCGTGTAGAGAGAAGAGGAAATTAAGCAGAAGGAGCATTGGGGCTAAGGGGTCACAAGGAAATAGCCATATACCTAACTACCCGCATTACTGACTTGTTTACTTCCTGTAGTACTCGGGCTTTAGTTATGCATATTTGGATATTATGGTCTAAAACATCTAAGAAATCACTTTAATATTCTTGCAGTCAATCAATACCAGGAATACCTATCCTGTCATAAAAAGACTGAAAGTCTATAGAAAGTAATAGTAATGAAAACAATCATCTAATAATGTCCTTACTTGTGATTTACAGCTCTCCTGTGCTCCTGGCTGTTTGTTTTCTAATATCTTGAGTTTGATGTGCTCCTCTGCAGTAACTTAGGCATTTTAAATGATCCCTGCAAGTATATTCCTGAAAGGAATTAGTTCTTCATGGCTAAAGAACTTTTGCTATATATATTGAACTGTCATAGAAGTCTTATTTAAGATATTAAATATCTTAAGATATGCTGTTTTAACGTTTACAATAGCCCAAATGAGTGAACAGTTGATATCCAAAAATGTTAACATAACCAAGTATAGTAGTAACCATTTGGTATTTTATAGGGAAATGAGACAGAAGAGTTGAGACATGTTTTAATTCCTGATATGGTAAATACTGATAAATATTGTATACTTCTGCCTCTAACAGACATGAGGGTAACATGTTTAGAACTTCCTTGAGGAAATTGCTTCCTATGAATTTAAGACATTACTGGCCTCTAGTGGTAATATGCTATAGTTTAAATGTTTCTAATTCTTGTGAGTGACTAGAAATGAAGCCATTTTAAATGTTTAGGCTGCTGCTAACTTCACTCTTTCAGTTCTGGGTCAATAGTACTCTCCAAGTGCAGAGCAACATCCTCCTTCTCCTAGAGACCAGGGTGCTGTCTCTTGCTCTGCCTCTGAGCCACCCTCACCAGTTCAGGTGGAATGATACTGGTTTAGCTCTGAAATGACCTTCCATTATTTTAGTGCATGTTCAGTGGGGAGCACTGTGCCAAGTTTGTGCTACCATTTCTTCCAAGAGTGTTTCAGCCCTCTTTTCTGCAGACTGTAGACAGGTTTTTACTTCTATGTATTGTAAGTTTTTATTAAGAGAAAGTTTTCAGTTTATCCTTGAGAGTCATCTTTAGACTCATCTCTATTTAATTTGATTTTGAATAATGTTACATTTGAAGTACTAGTTTGCTAAGCAGAAAAATGATTTGTCGCCTTTGGTTTTCATATTTGTCACACAGATGTGAAAGGGCCACCTACGCATCGTCTGTCTTGTGGCCAGTCACCCTACACTGAGACAACAACATGGGAGCGGAAGTACTGCATCCTCACAGACAGCCAGTTGGTGTTGCTCAACAAGGAGAAGGAGGTGAGGTGGATGTTACTGAGAAAAGCTACTTCCCTTTTCCAAACTCCTGAAGGGATCTAGTTTTTATTTGCATTTATGAAAACAGAGGCTTTATGAATGATGAATTCATATTTATGAATTATGAATGATGAACTACTGGGCTGCTAGTGCCATAACGGTATGTGACTGCCATGAAGAAATGAGGTCTTTAACAAGCCGGCCTGCTTTCATTCAGGAACCGTGACAGAGATGAGTTGAGTAATTTGGAAAGAGAATGGATTGGGATGGGTAGACCGGGTCCCCAAAATGGTCCATACAGCCTATTGGAAATGACATCAGTCTAGCTCCTAACCAGACAAATGGTACAGTCAGTGAGTTAAATGAAAGAGATTTGATGAAGGGACTATTTACAGAGGCATAGGCCACATAAGGGACCCCCAAAGGCTGGTGCAGCACCATGACCTGGCAACAGCGGAGAGCAGGTACCACTCCAGACCTTCAGGTCAAGGGAAGGAAGCAGTGTTTCTGGGGCCCAGGAAACTGGAGCTGCCTGAGAGGGCTCAGGACAGTTGCTGTGGCCCTACCCAAAGACCTCAGCCTCGGCCGGCACAAACGGCCAGCGTGGCGGACGCCAGGAGAAGGACATTCCCACTCTCCTCTCCTGCCTTCCGATTTCTTGCCCGTGTTACCTACTGTGCAAACCTGACCTGAAGTCAGAGGGAAAGGTGGCTCGTCCTGCATGCCATGGAGGTTTGCTTCCTGAAACACGCAGCGAGGGGGAGAATGCAGGGAGCAGGTCCAGAGCAGCGACACAATGCAATTAGCTCTAGTTCCTGTAAACTTTCTGTCCCTCTAAATTAAAAAAACCAGACAACCCGTAAACTTTCTGTATACTGTGGCTACTTTATTCCTCAAATTGTTCAGTGTACAAATCCTTCCACATCCAAATGATTCATTTGCTTATTGGTGATTTATCAGGTAGTTGATGTCATTCTGATTTGGTAGAGCCATTAAACCATCTTATTCCCAACCCCCACAACATTAAAAGAAATGAGTGAATGTGATCTTGACAGAGAAGAGGGATAAATGGAAGGAAAGGGAAGAAAAGGTCTAATTTGATGAGGGAGAAAGATTAATTGCAGTGTGTGTGTGTGTGTGTGTGTATAAATATCAATTTAGTAAATAAAGTAATATTTTAATATTAAATTTAATTTTTTTAAAAAGGGCACCCTTTTCTGTGGAGCAGAATCCAGTATATGTTGCTGTGTTTATATTAAGTAGATATATAATAAAAACTGGTAGAGTATTAGTGTAGAAGATTTGTAGTTAACCAATTTGAATAAATAGATAATTTAAAATGCACATTTTAGCCAATCTACTCTGTTGGCAGTTTTTTTATCAGTTATTAATATAGTAGGACCAATATGAACATATCCATTTGCCATCCTTATGCCCTTTCCTACATTTTATTCAGTTTAGTACTGTCAGAAATGTGATAGCCTACGGATAGATAGCATAGGCATGCCTTATCTAGAACCAAGATATAATCCATTGATTAGATATTACTAATCAATTGAGTAATACAGGCCAGGGTCCCTTTCGTCTCATAAAATAACTGTCCATAATGTATACTTTTCAACACTATATCTTTGGCGCTTCACCTGCTTTATGCCGGTTGTCATGGGGACCCCTGGCATCTGGGAGCCCTTCATCTCCTGCGCTGCGCTCAGGCTCTGCAGGTCCCCCTTTCTGTCCTGGCCTTGCGCTCATCCTTCCTACCCCGAGGAGCCCGCACACTGTGCCCTCTGCAGCTTCCCGGCCATCGGCAGCAAGCTCAGCTTTGCTTCCACCTCTCCCTGAAGGAGCCTTTTAACTTCTTGGTCTGATGAGAACCTCTGTCTTCCGTGAAGTCCTGTCAATTGCGGGCTCTTTCTCTCCCACAGCCCTCAGGCCATGCGGCCTATAGTCCGCGTCCTCTTTCTGTGGCACTTCCTGTCTATTTTCCCTCCTTTTCCCTAAAAAGCCCAAACTCTGACTCTCATGTGGTAGTCATCTTCTAACCCCCAGTCATCTCTCTCTCTCTCACGCTCTTATTGTTGTTGATTTTTGCTACTGGCTGATTGTCATTTTCTACAACACCTCTCTGGCCTTAATTTGTGAGTCTGTATCCAGAGATGTGATTCTTTCAACACATGGCTTTCAGTTCCTTGAACTCCTCTCTTTCTAGAGTCTTTTCCTCTCCCTGCCTCATTGCTGCACCTTCTTCATATGCTCAGTTGCATGCATGTTACTCTGACCATCACCTCCTGTTATTTTAGCTCATCTCCAACACTCCTTCAATCCTTTGGGACCCAGGGTCCATTGACCCCGTCACCTCGTCCACCCCTCATACCTCTGATATCCTTTCTTTCCTCTTCACCCAGCCCGGATTTTCAGGCCGGTCTTTGTCACTGCTCCCTTGCACACTGTTCCCCTGCCCTTCCCTTGCACCAGCATGCTCACTGGGCCCCGGGATAGCTCACTAAATCCTGCTCATCCATCTCCCTGCCCTGCTTCTGCGCAGCACCACGTGTGTTGGGGAAATCACTCCACAGCGCTGCTGGCCTTCCCGCTCGTGGCCATGAGCTCCACGCGAGCCCCTAGCGCAGCCTGGCAGTCGCAGAACACCCCCTAGTGCAGTCACTGTCTGGTCTCCTGGATGAGTGGCTGGCAAAGGACCAGGTTTTCTCCCCACCTCATTGTGAGCAATAAAACGAATTAAGGAAAATGAAATTTTAAAAAGGTAAAAATACAAACCCAAATTTTTAATAGATTTAACAAAAATTAAATTACAATTTAGTAAATATACACAGAGTGATCATAACATAGGAAAAGAAGGAATAAAATTACAAAAATTATACGTAGTCATGGAAAGCGGGCTGTACAATGAGGCAAATCCACCGATCACACCAGGCACATTTCTCGGTTTCTGCACTGTTAAACCGTTACCAGCCGCGAACAGTTTGCAGAGCAGCACCAGACACTGGATCACACTTCGAGTAGCACAATCCAAAGCGATTTCCAAGATGACATTTTTTGCATCCCTTCCTCTGGTCTAATCCCAGCTAGCCTCACAGCTGATCACTTTGCTGCTGCTTTCTTCACCGAGACGGTTCAAGCACTCAGAACAGAACGTCATTACCATGGCGCCGACCCACCGGCACCTCCTTCCATATGCTTGACTTCCTCCTTTGACTGGGGTTTGGTTTCCCGCAGCCCAACGGGCAGCCCCTGCATGGGCGCCTGTTCCAAGGGTGGAGCCCAACCCCTTTACGTCTTCAGTGTTTTGCCCTCCACTTGATCACCTCCGCCAGCACGCTGTTATTTCTCCCATCTTAACAGAAAAATATAGCCTCTTTCAACCTCACTTCCTCCTCCAGTTACATTCCTTTCTCTGCTTCCCTCAGTAGCACAAATTCTCAAAACCTATAAGCTTATTATCTCTGATTCCTGTCTTCTCGTTCTCTCTTAAACCTGCCTGACTCAGACTGATCCAGGGGTGTCCAACCTTCTGGCGTCTCTGGGCCACACTGGAAGAAGAGTTGTCTTGGGCCACACATTAAATGCGCAAACACTAATGAAAACTGATGAGCAAAAAAGGGTTTTAAGTAAATTTACGATTTTGTGTTGGGCCGCATTCATAGCCATCCTGGGCCGCACGCAGCCTGTGGGCTGTGGGTTGGGCGCCCCCGCTATCCATACCGCTCTGCCCGGGTTACTCTTGTTCAGCTCACTGGTGACCTCCAGGTTCCTAAATTCAGGGGTCAGGTCTCATCTCACTTCATTTGTCAGTGGCATTTAACGCAGTCGATGGCTGGCTCCCTTTTCTAGAGCCACTCTCTTCGTTCGGCTTGCATGGGATCGTGCTCCCTTAGTGCTCCTCCTGCCTCTCCAGCAGCTCCTTCTGAGTCGCCTCCGTAGCTTTCTCTTCTCTCCAGGTCTTTACGGGGGTGCTGCAGAGTTCAGTCCTCAGCTCTCACTTCCTTAGCATCTCATCCACTCTTATAAGAGACTTCAGACATCCTCTAATGCTGATGGTTCCTACTGTTATGTCTCAAGCCTACGCATCTCAGTTCTCTAGACTCATATGTCCATCTCTGCTCACACACACCTCTGCTTGGATATGTAATGGTTCTCTTCAATATGTGCACACCGAGCCCCTCACCTTCGCTCCCACGCCTGCCAGAGGCCATCCCTGTCATCAGTAAGGACAGCTCCATCCTTCCAAGCTCCCAAGGGCTCACTACGATCCAGCCATTCCGACCTCGCCCCTGTCCTTGGGCACATCAGGGCTGTCCTGCCTTTAGGCCTCAGCCTTGGCTTTTCCTTTAAAATATCTCAATGACTCACTTTCTCATCTCCTTCAGATCCTTGCTTACATATCACCTGACCACCTCTTTAAAATTGCAGACCCTCCTCATATCTCCTTCTAGAACATCTGATCTAATTGTGTGGCTCTAATTTTTTTGGCCCATAGCATTTGTCACCTTCTGAAATACTATAGAATTTATTTATTACATTTATTTTCCTTCTTCTGGAATGTAGGCTTGAGGGCAAGGATTTTGTCTACTTTGTTCAATGCTGTATCCCTCAGTGCTTATTCTTGACACATAGGTAAATTCTCAATAAATATTTGTTGAATAAATCTTGAAAAAGCCAAATTATAAACTTTAATTCCTTAAGATCCATTTTCTTAATGTAAGTTTGAAAAGAGATGAACCTTTCCTTCTATCTTTTCTTTTTGTGTTATAAATCTCCCCAGAACACAAGACTTAATTCCTTACTCTTTTCTAAAACTAGATAATAAAAGATGATAAAAATAATCCATAAAGTGCTTTTGCATTGTTGAATGTGATTCTGTCTTTATTTATTGAGCATCTATTGTGTGTGCAGTATTGTGATTGCAGTTTTATGGGGGCATCTCAGTTATAACCATTTGGAACTCCATATAGGTGGTGTTTGTACAACAGTGCAAATATACT